ATCTATTCAAAAACTCACGCTCACCCTCCAGGTGACTCTAGTTACAATTTATAGGACTTGAACCAGTACCCTGGTAGGTAGAATGAAGTAGTGCCTCACAACCCTATGTTAACTAGTTTACTTGTACTGTTATAGTGTTCTGTTGTACATTTATAGTGTTCTCTTGTACTTATTAATTAATAAAACCATATTATAAATAATTCCTTATAATGTATGTTGTACAAGCGTATTCTGTACTAGGGAAGTAGTGTATCGTAGTAATATTTGTATGAAAACCTTTTTATATGAATGCATGGAACCCACTAGCTGTAGTGTATAGTAATAGTGTTTTTTATGAAAACCTTTGTATGAATGTCTGGATCTCACCAGTTGTAGTGTTGGATCCCACCAGTTGTAGTGTAAAATAGTGTACTATAGTTTCATTATTTAAAATAAAACCATTGAAGTAGTCTTAATCCCGTAAACAATGTTTTATTTAATACTATTGTGAGTTTCATATAACAATGATAATCTAACTGGTGGCCTCTACCACGTTCTTTAGGTGTCGGAAAGTTATGTCGTTTGTCACCACAGGCCTGCCAGTGTAACTGTAGCTAACAGTTTAGGTTCGGGATTGTCAATCACGTATAGATCTATTCAAAAACTCACGCTCACCCTCTAGGTGACTATGGTTATAATTTATAGGACTTGAACCAGTACCCTGGTAGGTACAATGAAGTAGTGCCTCACAACCCTATGTTAACTAGTTTACGTGTACTGTTATAGTGTTCTCTTGTACTTAAAACTATATGTGTCACCTTGTATTGTTGTACTTTCTAATGGAAAATAGTTATACTTAAATAATTATTTAGTAGTGTATCCTTGAAATTGTGTAATAGTGTAGTATTCCGTAAACCATACTTTTTATAGTTTATATACTTGTTTCTGTTTAGTATTCTTGATCTTGTAAAATAGTGTAATGTTTCCCAAACTATACCTATTATAGTTTAAGTGTATGCTCTATAATAAACTGAAAACCTTTGCAATTTAATAGTATGTATAAAGTGGTAGCAAGAGATTCGTGATAAATACCCTTTTGCTTGACATGTTACAAAAGGACTAAATATATATATAAATATTTTTTTTATAAAATGTAGTGAGAAAACAGTTTGAATCAATTGCAAATAGTTTGAAATCGTTTGATTATTGACAGAAGAGTCCTTGGGTTTTACTTGTATCCCCCCCCCCCCCAAAAAAAAAACATTGAGAATTACTGAAAACATAGGGGTATGAACTCACCTCTAGTGCGTATTCATGTTCATGTAGTGAAACTATAGAGATGATCCTCGGGCTTGCGAACATGGAAATAACAGTATCCTAATAATATTTAAACACGTAACCGTATTTAAATTAGCGATATAATTAATTAAAGTGTTAGACAACACTTAGTTAATGGAAGGAATACTTACAAAAATTACTGAGAATTATTTGGAGTGATGGTAAGTTTTTTCGGTCTATCCTTCACCGAAATCCCTTGATTTTGGTCTTAAATCCTCAACCGAGAAGCAAGTTCATGATCTTAAAGGTTTCTCGGTCTAAGTGAATTCTCGGTCTAGATGGTTTTTGGTCAGACTTGAAGATTTGAAGATTGTTCTTGGTGTTTTTGGTGTTCTTAGTGTTCTTGGTGTTCTTGGTGAAAATAATGAAGATTTGAAATATTTTTCTTGAAGATTTGGAGGTTCTTGGATGATACTTGAGAGCAAAATGGGTGTGTTTTCAGTTGGAAAAGTGAGAAATGACTTATGTTGTCGAGTTAAATCATATATATCGTGAGGGTTCTCGGTCGAAAGGGAGTTCTCGGCCGAATTTTTTTTTTGGTGGGGGTTTGCGATCTGAAGGTTCTCGGCTACAAAATGACAAGTTTTGATTTTTAAGTGCATTTGATTCCTTTAAAACAAAATACTTATATAAACATCTTTTATATAATTTAAATCATATTCTAACCCTTATGAACTTTATGTAATAAATGGATCTTGGAATTTTATTTAAAAGGGTTTGACTTTCATTGACTTGAAAACAACGGGTTGTTACATTATCCCGCAATTAGAGGGAATTTTGTCCCGAAATTGTTTCTGTAGAGAGTACATCATGGAATAGGAAAAAGATGCGGCTACTTTTGTTGCATCTTATCTTCTCGCTCCCAAGTGAATTCTAGTCCCTGCTTGGCGTTCCAGCATACCTTCACTATTTGTATGCGACTTTGTTTCGTTTGTCTGACTTCTATATCCATGATTTCTATTGGTTCTTCCATGAATTTTATACTCTCGTTTATCTCGATTTCATCGAGTGGTATCACAAGAGTTTCATCAGAAAGACACTTCTTTAGATTCGACACGTGGAAAATAGGATGTACGTTATTAATTTTTTATGGTAGACGAAGTTGATAAGCTACCGACCAGATTCTAGCGAGAATCTCGAATGGCCCAATGTACCTTGGATTTAGTTTTTCATGCTTTCCGTAACGTATCATTCCCTTCTAGGGTGAGACCTTCAATAGAACTCGGTCACCAACCTGGAATGCCAAGGGTTTTCGTCTCTTGCCTGCATAACTCTTCTGTCTGTCTCTAGAGGATTTCAGTCGTTCTCAGATTTGAACGATCTTCTATGTCGTTTCTCTAATGATCTTCGAGCCAGTGAGAGTGCTCTCAGGAAGTTGTCCTTTAGCTAACTGCATGTCACTTACCTCAGCCCAACACAGTGGGGAGCTACACTTGCAACCATAAAGGGATTCAAATGGGGCAGCCTTGATGCTAGGGTGATAGTTGTTGTTATATGAAAACTCAACAAGTGGAAAATGGATATCCCATGCTTTACCAAAGTCAATCACACAGGCTCTCAACGTGTCTTCTAGTGTTTGAATGGTTCTCTCACTCTACCCGTTAGTTTGTGGGTGGTAAGTTGTACTCATGTCTAGCCTAGTTACTAGAGATTTCTGTAACGACTGCCAAAATCTTAAGGTGAATCTACTGTCTCTATCAGAGATAATAGAGATTGGCACACCATGCAGTTGTACAATCTCTTTGATGTAAGTTCTTGTTAATTTCTCCATCTTGTCTGTTTCATTTATTGGTAGGAAGTTGGTGGACTTAGTTAATCTGTCAACAAGTACCCAAATGGTGTGATAACCACTTGTTGCCTTAGGTAACTTGGTTATGAAATCCATTGTAATCTGTTCGCACTTCCACTCAAGTATTTCCGGTTGTTGTAGTAAACTTGAGGGCTTTTGATATTCTACCTTAACTTTGGTGCAAGTTTGGCACTTTCCCACGTAGGCAGTGATCTCTGCTTTCATGTTCATCCACCAATAAAGTTCTTGAGGTCTAGATGCATCTTGTCTGAACCTGGGTGAACGGAGTATCGAGTCTTGTATGCTTCATTCATGAATACGTCCCTGTAACCACCGAACTTTGGTGTCTAGATCCAGTTCATGAAATAACAAACTTCATCTCCCTTGATCTCTAATTTCCTCTCCATTCATCTAAAGGCTTCACCCTCCACATTTTCCTGCATTAAGGCTTCCAGTTGAGGCTCTGTGATTTGTGTAGACATATGTGAATGGATGGTCATGGTTAGTGCTTTTACTCTGCGACCTCTGTACTCCTTTCGACTGGGGGCATTTGCAACTACATTGACTTTTTCGGGACGCTAATGAATCTTGCATTTGTAGCCATTAAGTAGTTCTACCCGTCATCTTCATCTCATGTTAAGCTCTTTCTGGTCGAGTATATGCTGAAGACTTTTATGGTTGGTGAAGATGGTGCACTTTGTACCATAAAGGTAGTGCCTCTAGATCTTCAGACACTACTAGAAAACTGGTCTTTAATGATGCGCAAACAATGACACGCAGTGATTTACGATACGCATTTTTGGGCATCCTAAAAATAACGTTCGTTTTTAAAAATAATGAAATATAGAGGTCACGCATTTTTTGGGTGCCCTAAAATTAATGTCCAATAAAAAAACACGGAGGGAACCTATGTTAATATGGGTGTCGTGTAGAGATGTCTCTTTATATTTTATTTAATGAAACACACGTTTTCTTCTTTTGCAACTTGGGGGAAAATGAAAATCACAAAAGTTTGAAAGTCCGCCATTTTATCCTCTACCTTGTTTCCATCGCTGTTCTCTCTCACTGATCAATACCCAAAAAAACCCTAATATCTTCACCACTCTCTTTTCTCGCACAACTAAAATCTTCACGGGTTCTTTAATTTCACTCCTAGGGTTATTTGATGGCTCTTGTTTGGTTCATTCCCTATAGTGAATCGAGAGTCAAAACCTTGCATATGTATTCAGCTTATCGCCTTAAGCAACTGTTATTTCATCCTTCATTCACCTTATCGCCGTTGCATTGCTACCGCCGCCAAATTTCCTCTTCCCTTCTCGTAGTTGCTAGTTATTCCACTACTTTATCTGCTTCTACTCGTAACAAGAAAAAGCTAAACTGAAAAGATAATTTCATTATTGCTAATAGTTGTCGAGTTCTAATAGATTTTGTAGTGAAGAGGAGGACTCGATCGGATAAAAAGTTCGATGAGGAGAGCTTTCGTCAATTTGGTAACACCGAGAGTCATATTCCAGTGATGCTCGGTGAGGTATTGGAGGTTATTGATTCTCGCAAACTTCAAATTTGTCGATTGTACCCTTGGAGCCGCCGGTCATTCTTCCGCCGTATGTGAATCTGATTCACCTTTTCTATCTTTTTTATTACACGCTTGATTTTAGAATTCATTTCTTTGTTATTTGGTCAAGGATCCTTTGATAATGTGAAGCCCTAAAATTGGGAAAAGGGTTTTCTCGATCGTATTAATGTCTTTTAGTTCTGATGTTGATGTCTTTTGGGTCTCGATTATGTTACCAGTACTTCTAACCAAGGCAGAAACTACAGTAAATCCAACGCCTTTTCATCTTTTTCTTTTACTAATATTTTGATTTTGTTTTAAATTTGAATTAGAAATCGGATGCTTGAGCTAGCACTGAGGGTGGGAATCAAAGCACGAGGAGGAACTGGGTATGCTTGAAAAGCATTTTGAAGTTGTATGAGTAAGTTTCTTTGTTTTTCTTGAATTAAATAAGGCTGAGTTTATAAATTAACTAATTTTCTTGTGTATATATTCTTTTTTAGGAAATTTCTATGTAAATCCTGCTCGTTTTCTCCAATTCTTGATTCAGAACTTGTACCAGATAGGTTTAGGTTAACTGTAGAAGATATCTCAAGTGTCAAACATGTTGTTTCAGAGCTTCTTCGGAAAGAAACGGATGTTAAAGACTTAGATAACAACAATGTTCATGCGGTGGTGCAGCAAGTAGTGAATATAATAGAAGCTGCAGCAGGAGAACTTGAATGCCTTTCTGTTGTTGCTTCCAAGTTGCATAAATTCTTTCTTTTTGCTAATATTGATGTTGAGGGAAGTGTGTTTTTAACAAGTTGATTGATGTTTGGTGGTGTTTGAGAAAGAGAAGGGTATCTCTATTTGGGCATGTAGCTCAAGCTTATATAAATTACCTCTCACATTCATCTTCCAAGTTATGGGGTAGTCAAACAGAAGGTCAAAAGAATTCTAGTTATACCTTGAAAGCTACACTTCATGTCTTGCATATTATCCTTAACTATGGGGTGGAGTTAAAAGCTCCCCTTGAACCTACACTTTCAACGGTTCCTTTGTTGGCATGGCAGGTAGGTGGGACCCCTTTTTCTATTTTTATATAACAGTATCCTAACCAGTTCTGTTCTAACTAGTATTTTTTTCCCTTTCTGTAGGAAGTAACTCCTCAACTATTTTTTCTCGGTTAAGCTCTCACACTGAAGAAGATATTAGGAAACAGCACGAGGGCATTTTGGTCATGCTGGCAAAACAATCTCCATGGTCGATAATTTATCCAACCCTCGTTGATATTAACACAAGTGAAGAGGATCATTCGATGGAGCTTACATGAATATTGGCATGTTTAGTATGTGTGCCATATTATATTTAATTTATGTGCTCTCTGACAATCTATTTGTTTGGATTTGATGATGACTAACCCAATATTAACCATTGTATATGCAGAACAAGCAATATCCAAGATTAGTCCAGGATGTCCAACTCATGATTAAAGAGCTAGAAACTCCACCATGAGTTGATGATCATTAAACCCAATATCCACCTCACGTAAACCTAAAACACCTCATAAAATATTGTTTCACAATGAGTACATAGGGCAAATCAAGTCATCCATTTCAAACTTCAAAACTCCTCCATCTGCTGTCACACTAGGGGAAGGTTGGAGACCATTGTGTGGGAGTATGGGCGAGATAGTGTATATTTGGGTGGGGCGAACAAGTGGGGAAGATGATGATAACCTGTGGTAGATTGTTGGTGATGACTTCATTGTTAGAAAAGGTCTGGAAACAAGCTCTATTGTTCAGGTAATGTGTTATTTTGAAAAAGCTTCTAGAAACTACTTTGCTTGTATCTTCAAGTCCCTATTGCTTATAAATTGATATATATATATATATATATATATATATATATATATATATATATATATATATATATATATATATATATATATATATGAATGATTATGATGAACAGATAGTGAAAGAAAATGAAAATAAATTGGATTGAACAAAGGATTTGATAATTCCGATTCTAGAGATGGTGGTAGACAGAAGAAGCCAAAAGTATCTTTTGATTAGGATTGAAATGCTTCAAACTTTTTTGCATCATTCTATTTTGCTTAGTGGGTGTGTTTGTTTTGGAGGTTTGGGCGGTTACAAGGGTAGTGATGGGATTGCAAATAGTTTTAATGAACTTGTTCCTGATATGGGATTGGATAGAATCCATCTCTGATTTGGGTTCACCTCTTCAACGACTGAAGAATCCATCTGTTCGTTTTGATCCAACGCAGCTTCGTGTGACACACGTACCAATTCGGTTCATCTCTTTGCTTGGTAATATATCTTTGCATCTTTGTTTTTTCTATTTGTTAGTACTGATCATCTATTTTATCACAAAAGTTGCATCAAAGAGAGCCTTAGTACTGGATGGATCTGATATGTGTACAACCATAAACTAATATTTACTAATTATTTATGAAAAGTTAACATGAACTTATTTCTTGTTATAGAGGTGGATTATCTTTGAATATTCAACCATACAAGGCAACTAGAGATAAAAAAGTTTCCAACTTTGTCCCTGCAATGTTGGAAGGCTACAATGATGAAGGCATTGAACTGGTGAATTTTTAAATTTTTGTTACAATAGATGAAAGCAATAAGCAATGAGGTAAGTTTTCTAAATTCAATTTGGTAAAAAAAAACTATTTTTTTCTGCCATGTGTGGAACAAATTGGATCATGGTCACATCCCTTCACCCCGGTAGTGAATCTCATAGGGATAAAATGGTAAATCTGCAGGTGGTTCAATCAATGTCATTTAGTAATATTTAAAATTACAGCCTCTGTAAGTTTGACTAAAACCTTCTGATTTTGTTTACTTTTTAACTTTGTTTTTGGTTTCATTTAATAATAACATATCAAATATCAACAGTTATCTGGTAGTAATCCTTCTGAGGGGGTCTTTGTTAGGCTGCTTCTTTCAATTTCATTAACAATAGTGGTAAGTAAAATCTTACTATTATGAAAATATTTTGCTTAAACCTACCTTATTGACCTATACCTGATTAAACATTAATTAAATTATGCAAGTTTTGAATTTTTTGATGGAAAAGAACAGTGTTAATGCTCTTCATAGAAAGTATGTTTGTAGTTTAGGAAATTTGGCTAATAATTTAGTTAATTATATAAAAAATGTTGAAATGTTACATTTGTCTACTATTGGAATGATTATTTAATGTATTACGTTTGTCTGCTATTGGAATGATTATTTGTATGACATTAACTTTTGTGCAATTTATTGTATTTTTTGTATTATGAGAGATTAAATGCAAATTTAATTTATAAATTAATAAATATACAAATATATTTTTTTTAAAAAAATTAAAATTACGATACGGAAAAATGTGTGTCGTCTTCATTTATGACATGGCCTTTCTTGACTGGGGCTTCCTTGATACGCATTGCGTGTCATAAACACGCGCGTCGTAAGGTTACGACACACAAATACATGTCGTCTTCCTTTATGACAGGGCCTTCCTTGATACGCATTGCGTGTCATAACCGCGCGTCGTAAATGCGCGTCATAAATGCGCGTCTTAAATGTGTGTCGTCTCTCTTTATGACAGGGCCTTCCTTGACGCGCATTTGCACGTCGTCTAAGCATTTTACGACGCTCAATGAGCGCATAAAAGGCCTTTTTCTAGTAGTGAGAGCAAATACGACCGCTCCCAACTCGATATCGTGAGTGGTGTAGTTGACCTCGTGTGTTTTTAGCTGTCTCGAGGCATAGGCAATGACCTCTCGTCGATGTATAAGCACACAAACTAGCCCTTGATTGGACACATCGCAGTATACAATGAAATCATATGTCCCTTCTTGAAGAGACAAGATAAGTACGTTACACAGGGCTCGCTTTAGTGTTTGGAATGCATTGTCTTGTTTTCCTCCCCAACTAAAAGTTACCTCCTTTTGTGTCAGGGTAGTAAGCGGTTTAGCGATTCTAGAAAAGTTCTGTATAAATATGTGATGTTAGCCAACAAAACCCAAGAATTGACAGATCTTTGTGGGCATTCTTGGTGCCGACCAGTTCTCTATTACCTTAATTTTGGAGGGGTCCACGTGTATGCCTTCCTCGCTGACCACGTGACCAAGGAAAGTTAGCTTCCTAATCCAAAATTCGCACTTTGAGAACTTCACGTATAGCTTCTCCACCCTTAATGTTTCCAGAACATGTCTCAGGTGTTGACTATGTTCTTCCTTGCTTTGTAAATAGATAAGTATATCATCTATGAATACTATCATGAATTTTTCTAAGAAAGGATGGCACACCCGATTCATTAAGTCCATGAACACGACAGGTGCATTTGTTAGACCGAAAAGCATTACTACAAACTCGTAGTGACCATAAAGAGTTCGGAATGTTGTCCTGGGAACATCACTCTCCTAAACTCGTAATTGGTGGTACCCTAATCTCAGGTCGATCATCGAAATGTAGGTCACTCCTTGGAGTTGGTCGAATAGATCGTCTATTCTGGTTAGAGGGTAACAGTTCTTAATGGTATGCTTCTTTAGTTCGCAGTTATCTATGCACATTCGAAAAGATCCATCCTTCTTCTTCACGAACAAGACTGATGCTCCCAAGCGTGAGAAGCTTGGTCTGATGAATTCCTTACTGAGTAGTTCATTTATGTGGCAATCCGAAAAACTTTTCGCATGCAGTCTTCAATTCTTTCCAATATTAGACCTATTTTTTATATATAGTAGTACCCTTTAGAGTCTAATGAAGCATTCTAAATGTGATATAATCAAGGTAGGAGTGTTAAAAAGGGTTAACTCGAAGCGTAGGAATCAAAACCGGGCTAAACACTCCAACATATGGAGTGTGCGGCCACACACTTGAGTGTGCGGCCACACACTCTTGTTTGCGGCCTCCCAACCGCACACTCCCCCTATATATGCCACACTTAAATCATTCTTGAACACTTCCTTCATTTCTTCAAGCATAAAACACGAAATCCTCTCAAGTATCATCCATTCTCCTTGAAGATCTTCATAAAAGGTACCAAGAACACCAAGAACACCATCTGGCCGCACACATGGCAGCACACACAGCAGCACACAAGTGTTGGCCACACACAGGGCAGCACACAAGTGCTGGCCGCACACAAGTGCTGGCAGCACACTAGGCCGCACACCCTGGCCGCATACACACATATAGTGTGTATTTTGGCCATACACCCTCTTGTATAGCCTTATAAACCCTCATACAATCATATATGATTATAACACTTCATTATAAGTGTTTACTAGTCCCTATGATGGTCACAAAATCATCAATTAATTGTTCATAACACTAATTATATCCATACATGTGCCAATATATGCTAAATAGGCTTCGCGTGTGTACTCAAGTCACCACTTGATGCCTAGCATCAAATCCAACTTGGTCATCAGAACCACTCACTACAGGTGAGTTCATACCCTGAATGAACCTTTTAATGTTTTTACATGTTTTATAGGGGGGGATACAAGTTAAAGCATGCCAGTTATCATATCAATCATATGTGATTGATAACCCGCATGCACAAGATTTTACCACACGGTACACTGTTTTACCGAGTAGGACACTATAATGGTTTTCAATTATTTCAAAACTCTCACTTATACTGCTTTGTCAAAGTACATTTTAAACCGGTTTATGGAAAGTTTTCAAAGAATTTCTAAAGGCTTTCAAACTCGTTTTACCAAAGGATACCAAATGAAATTTTCCTAAGTATAAAGGGTTTTCCAAGGTTTTCGTCAAATTCTCGTTTGCAATGTATATTTGTAC